CCATTACAACCTTGGTAAATAGCCAACTTAGGATATTTTACTTTCTTATTAGTCAATGATAAGTTTTTTTTGGGTATAGAAAGATTAAGACTAACTTGCTAGAAGGGAATATATGAGATTTTAGTCTTTTCAATTATAGGCGAGTCTTGTAATTGGCCTAAGATGGGTTATATTGCTAGAAGGCAATATGTGAGTCTTGTGATTATCTAATTATGTCATCAAGCCCTATTAAAAAATAATTATATAGCTACATTTTAGGCATAAAAACACCAACATATTAAATTATGCAAATATAAATTATTTTTGAAATACTTAATCATATGCAATTTAAAATATCTAAATGTATTTTTTAAAAATGTTTTGCGTTTTTAAATAATAAAAAAATTAATTTATTTAATATTTGGAAAAACACCTTGCATATAAGTCACAATTACAAATATTAAAAGATAAATATTAAATAGTCATTTGAAAAAAAATAAGAAATTAATTTGAAAAATTAAAACTTTGTCCGGCAAAAAAAGAAAAATCAGTAAAATAAAACCACCAAAAATTTATTAAAGATATGTTTTCCAAACATACCATAATAACAAAGAAAAAAACATCAAGCTTCTTGATACAATGCCATGCTTGTTCCGAATAGGCTGAAAACAAATGTCCCAACCTTCCTCTTTTTTTTTTATCCTTTCCTAGCAGAGGGGATTCAAAACCCAAACCCATAAACAAAAAACGGGGAAGATTTTTAACTGTCAAGAATCAAAACCAAACATTGCATGAATTTTTCCCAGCACCTCGTTTTTTCCAGGACCCCAAAACATGCTTAAGATTCTTTTTTTTAAAAAAAAAAACCATGGGACAACAAAACAAAAGAACAAAAAAATCCTTGCACCTACTGAATCTTCATCAACAAAAAAACATTTTCACGGCCAGGACAAAAACTATACACACCTTAGAGTAGTACTGTAGAAAAATCATGCATGACAATCATTGAAGATTTCCAAGCATGGTTCTTGCATCATTGCTTACAAGGGTTCCAAAGCAAGGTAGATATCATCTTATGTCAAAGAAACATATATCCAGAGTCTAAGAAAGATAAAAAATGTAGCCCAGACATGGCTTAGGTAACAAACAAAGCATGCAGAGAAAATAACTTTAACTCATGCAATTAGCATACATAAAAGACTTAGTCCCCTTACTCTCTCTAACCTTGGTTGTAGCCAACTCCAAAGAGATTAGAGACAAGAATGGGAGGACCGACGAGTTGAAGCTTCAAATGGCAAAAAAGAAGAGGCAAGGCTGCTGGACTTCTCACGGTTGGTCTCGCCTGCACAACTGCTGTGTTCGGCTAGAAAAGGCCACGGTGGCTGGACCAAGAACTAAGATGGAGTTATGGCATGGAGAAAAAATAAGATTCTACAATTGACGTCACGATGAAGCTGCTGTGTTTGGCTTGAGATAGTGGTGCTCATTGTGCAACTGCTGAAAACTTGTTGCTGGAGGATCTGAGATGCTGCTGATGGCTCCCAGCTGCACTGCTAGTGGAGCTAGAAGGCTGGAGGCTCACGGTTCTTGTGGAGGAAGAGTTATTGGTGCAAAGTGGCTGGAACGCTGCTGGCGTTGGAGAGGCTGCGTTGGCGTTCGACTTCAAAAGAGGTTGGACCGTCAGTGAGAGGTTGACGTACACCCATGGGGTGGTTGTTTGCCTCTGGTATCTTTGGTTTTTGAGGATGTACTGGTGTTTATAGAGGCTGCATAGTGGGAGCTTTGATATGGCTGAAAATGGAGTTGGGTTTTCAGGTTAAATGGTCACTGTCATGGCTGGAGGCTTTGATTGTTGAGTGGGGGTTGTGATGATTTAAGGGCTATTTCTGGGTTTTTATTGGGCTGGAAAGATTAAGGAGTAAGGCCGTTGCAGTCTTGGCGAAAGAGATAATGTTCATGACAGTGTTCAAATCCCTCTCCGACTGTTTGGGGTTAAGGTTTTTAAGCTATTTTATAGGACAAAACAGAAGGATCTAAAGCCTGGGTAAACCATTGATGCTTGAAAATAGTTCCTGGCCATTTATTAAAACTAAAGATAAATGCTTGTCTGTCTGCGGCTAGCAAGTGAGTGCAAGGCTATCTTGACATGTGGAGCAGTGTGGGTACCTTTTTTGGGGGAGAATTTAAAGGTGTTATCGGTGTAGCAAGGGTTAACATTTTGGTTTACAGTGAAATTCAAGTACGAGATGGTGTGAAGATTGTCTTGTTTAGTCGAGAGACGAAGAAGAATCAAAGGCATGAAGGGGGCTTTGATCAAAACAAAAGATGCACAGGTAAAACTTCTTTTGACCAAGTTTAAGAAAAATATAATTTCATTGTTTTGTAAAAAGTGATTTTTGGTATAGATTTCTTAAATGTGGTTATTGATTGAATTCTATATTTTAATTTTCTTTTATTAAATTTTTAATTTAATTAATTTTAATTCTTAAACTCATATATTTTTTGTAATTTGATCGTAGGTTTTAATATTCTTCTACTCATTCAACTTTCAATCTTCAAATTAATTCCTTTTAATTGAACCATTGATTACATTAATTTAGTCTTTTAAAATTTTAATTATATCTATAATTTTTTAATCTTTATGAATTGATTTGAATTAGATCATTAAATTTATTTTTTTCAATTAGATCCTTGATTGAATCAACAAAACTCATTACAAGTTTAATTAAGTCCTTAAATAAGTCAATTAA